CATGTCATTAAGTGAACACATAAACAGATTTCTCAAAATATCATTTTGAAATATTAACTTTGTAATACTTAATTTTAATATATAATAAAAGTCATTACTCAGAAAAAATATAGAGCAAAATCTTTTGTAGCTCTTCTCAAATACACACAATAATAACAACCAAACACATGTAATTAGAGTAATCCTATGTAAAGTTTCTTTTTTTTTTTTTCGTTAAATTTTTATTTTGTCAATATACACTGTATATGATTATTATGGCCCATCACCGACACCTCCCTCCCTCCTCCCTCTATGTAAAGTTTCTAAAATGGGTTAATTTAAAATTCACATTGAAAGGGAATAATAGCACTATATTGAGAAAATAGAGGAAAATATTACTATTACAAACACAAAGAAATGTTGGATAAACTTTAATAAATATAAATATTTCTTGAATCTGTAGCTGAAAGCACTGCAAAGTTGTGAATAAAGGTGTCAAAAATAAAAGATTCAATTAAAAGTAGAGCAATCGTCTATGAAATGACTGTGGATGCTCAGGAGAGCATAGACCTGTGGATGGGAGTGGAAGGTTACAGATCCCAGAGGCTTATGTTTCGAGTCTCAGGATCAGTGTGGTGAGAACATTTAGAATGACACAATAGCATAAAGTCAGAACTGTCAAGTTGTTGCACAACCACTGAAAGTATAAATCTGAAAATTATGCCTTTTTCCACTGAGATTACAGATTTTTTTTTCTATAAAGTATTAACTGGGCTTACAGAACTATGAGTCAAGGGAAAATCATTCCCAAGTGTACTTGATAGCCTGTGACTACAAATTAAGCATTTACAAAAGCTCATTAAGCTTTTACAATCCAAATCGTCTTATAGAAATCTAAATTATTAAATATAAAAAACTGAAAAAGTCACACAAATATAATTGCTTAGAAATTAAGGTACTCAAGTCAAATTAGCTAATTCCTACCTAGAAAGCAATGAAATGCAGACATGTCATTGCAAATTATTTTGAGTACTGAAAAAAAACTAGCCAGAAGGAATTCTGTTATCTTAAATTTATTCATTATTTTTAAAATGTAAACTAGACCAAGAGGAACTTTTGCTTGTCCTAATAAATGTGAAAAATAAAAAATAAACAAAAGTGAAGTGTAACTTATACTAATAGTAGAAAATTAAATCTATTAAACACATTTAAAAAAATTCAAAAGCCATCTCTTTGAGAAGTCTAATAGCATAGCTATACCCCACTCCAATTGATGTAAATGAGTAAAAATAGAAATGTTTAATATTTTATTGGAAGATCTTGGACATGCAATAATATAAAAAAACAAAGCAATTGGGATAAATATAGGAAAGAATACATGAAACTATTGCGTTTGAGTGACTACGAAGTCTTATTTTATTCACATTTTGCTTGTCTCAAGTGGAGATATGTCATACAATGGATGGCATCTACCATCGTTCATACTTTAATTGGGAACATTTTCTTTTCCTTAAGGGTACATAAAAATAATTGCATGTCTTAAATAATTGGTATCTTAAAATTAATGAAATTTGACATATATTTTTTACCCTGAGGACATTCTTACATATCCAGAAAACTCAAGAAATTCTAATAAATAACTGAGGGAATTATCAGAGAATTTGGTGTTCTGGCTATAAAAATAGAAAATATTTAAAAATTAATACACTGTAATAGCAATAAGCACAATAAAATCAATGAGAAAATATTATTTCAGTCATAATAATTACAGAAATTGTCAAGAAAATAAATTTAACATAAAAGTACAATGTATATATAAAAAATACATAAAATATTTTAAAAGAATATAAAATATAACTTGAATAAAGAAAGGCAATCGATATTCTTGGATGAGATATTTTAATATTAGTGTGTGCATGTTTGTGTGTATGCATAGATTATTTATACATTTTAGAAATATTTATTTGCTGATTTAGTTGTATACAGTCAATGAATATGTAGAATATTAAAGAAAGACAAATTTTAATGCAGGTTATCTGCAGCAGGAAATAAATGATGCAAACAAAGAAAAGAAAGGGTAGAAGGAAACAAAGAAAAATCCCAAAATAAAACATTGATCATTTGATCCCGCTCTCAACTAAGTAAGAGAAAATATTTTAAAACATATCAACAGAAAAGATACATGGCCATAGACATTTTATTTTTTAATTTTATAACCTTGTTTGTTTTTTAATAATATATAACTGAATTACATTAATTTTCTTACCACTTCTGTAAACTACCTTCCATTGAGTCCTACGCAAGTCATTTTTGTATCTTTAGTTTTCAAACCAATGTCTGATGGTTTTTCATGTCATTAAGTGAACACATAAACAGATTTCTCAAAATATCATTTTGAAATGATATTAACTTTGTAATACTTAATTTTAATATATAATAACACATATATGCAGGTTTGAAGATATGTGTATATATATATGGATGTAAATAAGGAAACTTTTTTAATGGATTTTTATCTATAGAATAAGAATGTCAAAAGATTGTTGCCAAGTTCACATATATGCAGGTTTGAAGATATGTGTATATATATATGGATGTAAATAAGGAAACTTTTTAAATGGATTTTTATCTATAGAATAAGAATGTCAAAAGATTGTTGCCAAGTTAAAAAAAAACCGAGTCTATTTTGTTAATAATGACACTAGATCAGTAAACAAATAAAAAATGCAAAAGAAAACATCTATGAATGTGTACATGTTTTTATGAGGAGAGACATCGATGTGAAAATATACATGCCAATCTGTTAATATTGATTACATCAGTGGAAGAAAATTTGAGAGAGATGATTCTCTTTACATGTGAATATTACTTTATTAAATTATTTCACTCATTACAACCAAGACAAATGTTTAAATATACATGTATTTGAAAGGATGAAGAATTAATTGTAGAATTGTTTATAATACCACAAATAAGCTACATTAAGGTTTTACTCAACAGAAATATGTATACACAATATATTCATTTTATACAATAGTGCTGAGAACTTAAAGGGAATAAAAATTTTATTTTTAAAAAACTCAATATTTTCCAATTGGCCACAAACACGTCTCTTATTTGTTGCTTTACTTTATAACTCATACTACAACATAGAAAAAACCAAAAAAGAATTGAACTCCTAATCTTTTAAAATTAGAAGTACAATTAAAAATCAATATAATGACTCAGTTCATTAAATCCCTCCAATAGTGAACAGTTCATTTATTTTTCCTATATTTTCCCAGTGAACTTATGCAAATACATGTGTTTGATATGTTTCAAAGCATTGCAGTTAATATCCTTATTGATGCTAAAAACGTTCAGGTTCTATTCTCCAAAACCTCGGGAATATGTTGCCTCACATGTCAAAGGGACTTTACAGATATGATTACATTAAGGATTTTGAAGGTGGGGAGATTATCCTAGGTTATCAAGGTAGGCCCAAATCAATCACAAGAGTCTTTGTAAGGGAAATAGGTAGTCGGGAGCATAAGAGAAGGAGAGGCAAAAACCGATGCAGAGATCATATTGAAGCAGGGCCAGAGAACGCTGGCAGCCCCTAGAAGTTAGACAGGCATGGCAATGGATCCTCCCCCGACAGCCTACAGAAGAGCACAGCCCTGCTGACCCATTTTAGACTTCTTATCTCCAAAACTAAAAAGAAATAAAAAAAACAAAAGCAACATGAAGCTAATACAACAACACTTCCTTCACCTAAGCTCGAATCAACCATTTCTCCAAGGAAACTGATTGGGTTTTTGGTTATTGTTGTTGGGTTTTTTTTGGCAGCTGGCCAGTATGGGGATCAGAACCCTTGACCTTGGTGTTATCAACCACGCTCTCTAACCAACTGAGTTAACAAGCCATCTTTTTAATTTTTTTTCCTGGTTTCTTTTAGTTAGAAATAGTATTTAGTAACCATGGTATATATACTTGTTTTTTATTGCTATTGAATTTAACCATTGTTTCTAGCCCTTTTCAAAGGACAAAGCTAGGAAATGTAGGGTTTGTTTTTTGGGTTTTTTTTAATTCCCTTTTTTTTAAAAAAATAAAAAACCCTTTTTTTTAAAAAAATAAAAAACCCTTTTTTTTAAAAAAATAAAAAACCCTTTTTTTTAAAAAAATAAAAAACCCTTTTTTTTAAAAAAATAAAAAACCCTTTTTTTTAAAAAAATAAAAAACCCTTTTTTTTAAAAAAATAAAAAACCCTTTTTTTTTTTTTTTTTTTTTTTTTTTTTTTTTCTGACCAGTAAGGAGATCACAATCCTCGGCATGGTGTAGGCTGCACCATGCTCAGCCAGTGAGTGCACCGGCCATCCCTATACAGGATCTTAACCCGCGGTCCTTGGTGCTACCAGCGCCAC